AAGAGATATAAATATCCCAGTTCTTTCCCCAGACCCTAACCAGGCCCTTTCCTTTCCTGACCAAAGACTTCTATTCTAAGGAGAAAGATGATGATAAGAGGAAAGTAGTGCTGGAGATGCAGAAAAGCCACTAAACACCAGAATGCTGCTATTGATTTTATACACAAGTCATGCAGGTGGGCAGCAGTACAGGATCTAAGATTCAGTGATAGTAACGTAAAGTTGCAGCCACCTACACAAGGAGGGTAGCTGCACAGCTTGAACTATAATGACATTCTGCTTAAATTTTATATACAGACTATATTTTTAATCCTTGCTATGTTATGTTTCCTTTCATAGTTGCTTCTCAACCTCATTATAGCGAACAGGCGGCACTGCGCACCACATAATTTTTGCTAGTCATTGCCAGAAATCAATGTCTGAATGTATTTGTCTTTGCAGATAGGTACTAGTGATTGAATATACTGAAGTAATGAAAGCTTAGAATTTTTCTGAGACTTAAAAGTAAATATAAAAGTAAAAAGTAAAAAAAAAAAATGCTTATTTCAGAAGTTGCCCTGAAAGGGCAACTGGTCTTGGGTCTTACTTTCTCAGATCTCATCTGTTTGTTTTGTATCCTGTATAACGTTTTAAGGACAGAAGCAGATAACGGAAAACTAGAAATGAGGTGCAAGATGGGACCACTGCCACTAGCATACCCCTTAATAGCTTATCCACAGCCATAAAAAGTGTGGGGGGACACATTACAGAGGATTTTCTGGTGGACTACTTTGTATTCAGCTTCTTTCTGCTTGCTGTGATTTTTTTTTTTTTTGAAAGGAGTAAGTTACGTTGTTTGCAGCTTTTGTTTCTAGCTTCCCCAGCTCTCAAAAGGACCCCTCTCCCTTAGGTTGGGTGCACAAACATTCTTCCCTTTGTTTTCACAATACTCCTGGGTAATCCAGGGCTTCATTAAGCTCATGGAAGGCATCACTTCAGAACTGCTGCTTTATGAACAAGTGGAAAGACCAAGGCTTTATTGCCGGTCGACAGGTAAGAAAGTGCAACACTTTGAGCAGAGCTTTGCTGTTTATAGGAAGCAAATATGCAAAGCTATTGCTGGCATGTGCAACTTTATATACTTGTGCAGTCAAAATGGGAAAAAGGTAGGAGAAGATCAGGGTCATGGAAGGTGGGAGCATATGGTTGTCTTGGAGCTCCAGGTGAAGGTCTTGTTCCTCCTACTGAAACGTTGCATACGTTCTGCCATGATCCCAGCAGGCAGTATTTTCAGGGGACTGTAGGACACAGTTTGAATTTTCTAATTGGACTAATAAATATACTCTGGAGCTGTGGAGTTTGAGGAGGCTACAGGACCTAATAAAATTGTAGATGATTGTGAGAGAGTCATCGCATGTCTAACGGTAAACCCTTCAGCTCTTTCAGCACTTGTACCAGCTCCTGTTTTTGCTGCTTCCTCTCTTCGGGCTTGACGCAACTGCACACTAGTTCCAACGAGGTGTCTTATGCAACCACACTATACCACGTGCTTATTATGGTTTGGTAAACCTGCACTTGGCAAAGTCATATCTTACTCCCGCCAGTGCCACTTTTTGGCTCCCATGATTTCTGTGGCATGCAGTAGTGCTAGTACGTTGCTATATCTGTTGCAGTCTCTGGCATCAGCCATGAGTGACAAGATTCCTTATGAAATAAAATGGAAGTGTTTTTTTTTTTTTCTTTCTAACTAGGCGGATAAGATACCATTCATCTCCATTATTTAAATGTCATGGTCAGGCCCTCTTCCAGTCTGAGTCAAGACTTGTGCTGTTGAGTCCTTTCCTTTTGCTTTTGTGACTGCAGGAGCCCTGATTAGGGCGAGGAATAGTAATCCAGACCCATTGCCTGGAGGTCTGTTCTCGCAGCTGGTCCTGGATGATAAGGAGGAGGAAAACAAGGGAGGGGGAAAGCATCTGCCTTTTTTCAGTGCTGTGACGTCTTTCCTAAGACAGGATCTGAGTCAAGTAACTGACTATTCTTTAAGATAAACGGATATGTAAGATCTGAGTAATACTGCAGAAAAAGGGAAGATAATAGCATATCAATCCACTGTTCAGGAAATTCATTTAGAAAGATAGATGAAGAATACTTTTCTCATTAAAGAGTGAATAAGTGAAAGATTTGGAAAGCTTAATGAGCCCTCTGCAGTAAAAATATAAGCAGTACAGCAGGAACGGTACAACTGAAATGGTTAAACAATTCCAAAATAGTATGTGGGTGTATTTTGAAAAAAACAGTTATCAAATATATCATGAAGATCATATAATAATATATCATTAAGCAAATAGCCATTATCCTTTGAGTACTTCTCCAAAAGTACCTTCAAGTGTTTTTACTGCTAACACTTGAGCTTGAGATTTTCTCTTTGTGTCATAAGGTACATCCATGTCAAGTCTTTCCTCATGCCTTGCACTAGCCATGAAAGCATGAAACATGTGCTACAGTCCTCTGTTCTTCATAACTCCTGTCTGAACTAGAACACTTTGCTTTGTGAATTGTCAGTTGTGCCACTTGGATGGTTTGGTTCAGAAACTATGCTACATTTTGTCCTTATATGGTTATTTTTTACTTCATTTTACTTCAGTTTTCTGCTTCCATCTTCATGTTTTCGAGGGTGATAGACAAATTTGTTTGACTTTCATTTGCTCCTGCTCTGTTGTTTTAAACAGTGGTCTCTTTCATATGCAGACAGTTTTTGTAGCTCTGTTACTGCATGGGATCCTAAAGATGAACTTTGGCCCTATATCCCTTCCTGTTTCGAGCAGAAACTGTTTCTATCCTCTTTGGTGGATCCAGTAGAAGGATCTTGCCCTTCCTTCGTATTATTATAAACATTTAGACCTTTCATTTCACATCCTTGATGTTTCCTGGTAGTCCTGTCATTTCCAGAGCTATGTTGGTATGTTTTGTGCAACAGTCTCGTACATCCATCTTCAAGACTGCAGTCCCAAAAAAGGAAATCTGGCATATTCCATTCACATGCCACATGTCTGGCCATCTTGGCAACACAGTGGCATATCTTCCTTCCTCAAGGGCCCTTTTGAACTCTGGCTGAAACAACAGTCAGGGCTACAGAAGAAGGAAGTCATATTCTCCAATATGTTAGGCTATATTACCTCCTTTTGATACTCTAGTGTCACATACCATCCTACAACTGAACTCATGGTCAGCCCTAGGCATCTTTGTGAGTCTAGCTGAATTTTTTTCTCTCTAGCGCACTTCCTACTGAAGTGTGTGCCAAGGTCCATTCAGATCCGTCTGAGTTTGGCGAGGAAAATTGTTTCAGCCCTCAATATTCTAGTTAAGATTTCTTGAAGAACTTTTTTTTTTCCTTTGCAGAGCTTTTTCATTACTTTCTATATATTTTTGCGATGTTGCCGTTCTTATCAATAATGCTGTGATTCAGCTTGCCTGATTTCAATGACAAGCATCTACATCCCACTGCTCTGCTACAGGACAGATGAGGAAATATTATCAGGGGGCTTCTGGGAAAGTTGAATCTCACTATTTTCTTCTCATCCGTTCCTTCATGATTTGCAGGCCACCAAGAAGTGCCTCATGTAACAAGGAGTTTGAGGAGATGGATATGCTTGAAAGTTGGGCTTAAACTTAAGTGTCCCTGAACAGGAGGGTGGCTAATTGCTAAATTCTCATTGTTTTAGTAATTATGCTTATTGGTGATTAGTTACTGAATACTTTGAACCCAGATATATTTGCTATAAACAGAATTCATGGTGACAGGTGATGCAAGATCAAAAGATCTGCTCTTCTGGTACACCCAGCTTTGCAGGGTGGAGTCTATAATGGTGGATTGGGATTTGAGCAAGGAGAAGAATGGAATTCTACTGAATTGTTTTTACAAGAGTGCTCATGCTGCCAAAACCAGCTTTATTTCAGAGTAAGAAAGTTGCAACAATATAGAAATATCCTGTTTCAAAGTTTTAGAAGAAAGTACTTTAAGTTTTCCTTTTAAGTTGATTATTCATGCTGATTTTTAATTATACATTATATACTACAGGAAAATGTTATGACAATGGAAAATCAAAGTGATTATACAAAAAAAATTTTTATTCACCCCAAGAATTCGCCTCACCTACACCTTCTCTAGAGTTTCTCTTGTAGCAAATGCTGAAGTTTTCAGATTTGTTCTTACGACAGAAATTAAAGTCAAAACCTGGAATTCCTCCATAATATACCTGTTCTAATTGCAATGCATAGTCTCAATGTACCGCTACATTCACAATATGCTAGAAATGCTAATACTGCTCTCAGCTTATTAAGGGATAACTACTTCACTAGTATTTCTTCAAGGGAAGCAGATGTTATTCATTGCCCAGTCTGTCTGTTCTAACTTTATACCTTTTTCTTCTTAGTGTTAAGACTCGACCTGTGCGAATGCCTCCTGGATACCAAGCAGATCTTGTTATTCAGTTGGTGTGGGTGGATGGCGAGCCTCCGCAGCAGATTACCAGTCTTGCTGTAAACTCTGCTTATGGACTGTAAGTAACTCAAAATTAAGGTGTATTGATTTATTCTTTATTGCACCAAATCGTGTATGTTCCAGTTATACTTCAAAGTTCCCTGCAGACACTTAAAGTCAGAGTAAAAAATCAAAACCTACCGTTCCCCGCGTTCTTGGGGGAAAATTGCTTGAACAGGTAACTTGTGAAGACTGTAATATGAGATATTAAACTGTCCTTCTTGCCAGTATTTTTACTGTCCCTGGTTAAAAGACTGAATCTTTTCAGATCATTCTGTCCCTCCTTTCAAACAAAATCTGATTACCTTTCAGATCTGTAATTTTCAAAGATATTTTGAAAGGATCACCAAGAGGAAATACATTTCGTAGAAATTAGTGATGCGATTAAGCACTAAATGTCATTTGTCATGACTTCATATATTTAATTGAGAAATTCTCTTGTGATAGCAACATTTTTATGTGCTAATCCCCATACATATATTGAAATAGATTGTATATTTTCACAAGATAACCAGAGACCTGAAATTAAAAATTGAATAAGGAACATTTCAATGCTAATTTCTGTATGAAAATGCAAGTAGGTGTGTCTGTGTATATATTTTTGCTCGTGCTCAATTTAGTTGCTAATTTTTACTGTTTTCTCCCATTGAGAGTTACCCAGATACATTAAACTGATTTTTGAGGGAGAAGGTGTTATTTCAGTAAAAAACATAGGCCTCAGTAGGTATTCAGTGGCTGACTCCCACTGATTTTCAATAGATTGCTTGACTGTGTTTGGACACTTTGGAAACTTTAAGCAGAGCCTTCACATTTGTGCAAAAATATTGTGGGATGGGGCTTGTCTTATATTGGGTTTTTGTCCTGAATTTCCAGAGTTTCCTGGAATCTAGATGTTTCTTTTGTTTTACCACACCAAGATGCATTTGTGAAAATTACTTTTTTTTTTTTTTGCCTAATTTGCTCCCTTACAGGTCTCAGATCTTAGGCCAGAATGTGACATCTGGCTCTCTCAATGGTTTCCTAAACATACTTGATTCAATCAAATGTTTTAAATTACTTCCTTTCCTAGCAGCAGTAATAGTTTACAGGACAGTTGTCTTAAAACCAAGTTTACTAAATCCATGAGTGTTTCAGAAAAAAACATGTGAACATGTGAGATGATAAAAAAGCTAAAGCTAACCTAATGCAAAACCTAAAGGTAACGTTCCTACAAAACTTACCAAAAAAAAAAAAAAAGTATTTCTTTGAATTTCTTCTGCGGAGTCCCTTCTCTCTTTCTCTCACTTGTCTTTCTCAACTTTTTCCTTGGGTCTGTACTGAGAAGTTATAACCCTTTCTCCTCATCAGAATCTCTTTTAATGCTTTAGTTTTCTCCTGGTATCTAGCTTCACAATCTGGCAAAACAACTGTCTTTCAGCATAAAGCTTGAGGATGTGCCATTCTCGTCATGCTAGTTATGATGCTGTTTATTTGGGTTATTCTTTTTGCCTTTCTATGTTTTTCCTATAATAGTTTAATTGGGAGGAAGGAATATTGTAGTGAGCAAGTGTATCCTGGAGTATCTACTTTCAGTATTCTTTTAACTATTTTGATTTCTGTAACTGTGTGATACAAATAGTAGTGACTTGGTGTCCTTGATGTTACTGCAGCCACAAGAAAGGACTAAACCAAGATATGAAAAAAATTTATCCCAGCAAAGATAAATCAACATAGGCATTGTGAAATTTTATCTATTTTGATTTATTTTGTTTATTTTTAATGATAGAAATCTACAAATTAAACATATGAACACCATTTTTATTTCTGTTACAATGAAGCATCACATTCTACTTTCATATATATAACTTTGTACAAAATGGTCGTCTGGCAAATACGACTGGTAGCATTCATTTTTGTCCCAAGGAAACTGTATTAAAAAACTTTTGTTCTTCTATTAAGTGAAATATGTTTTAGTAATTTCTGAAACAGATAAAACTCTTAAGTGTGTAGATTATGGAATTTATTCTGCAGTACACTTCATGATCTTCTCAAATAAGCACAAAATATTGCCAAATAAAAGTGTATTTTGTACCCACTTTGAGCAGGACTATATTCCTACTTAGGCTACGGATCAGTGAAGAATCAACAAGGGAAAAAATACTATGCTCATTCACAGATGCTATACTAAATGCACTGTTAAGTATAGAGTTTTCTAGAGAAAACATGATATGGTGACAGGCGGTAGACTTTGAACTACTGTTGTACATGGGACCTTAATTTGCCAGAATGATGAATAAGAAAAATCCACCTTATTTTCGCCCTTTGCCTTTTCTGTTTGCTGTATGGAACCCTCTTTTGTATGATGGAAAGAGAGGGAGAGAAGGTGCAACAAAGGAACATGTTTCATCTATAACACTTCCTCTTCCTCCATCTCATTACTTCTCTTCATATACTTTCCTACATACAAATTCATGTATCTTCTTAAACATCTTTTGAAGCTATATCGAGAAGAGTCAGCAGAAGGTGAGTGCACAGCTCAGTTTTAGTGTGAATTGAGCACCCAAATATCTTGCAGTCCTTCGAACTGACAGCCTCAATCAAGTTTTACATAAAATCATGGAACTTGATGAGGAATGATTCCTAATCTGATTGACCATGCTTTGGGATTCCGAGTTTCCTGATGGCTGTACCCCTGATCCTTTCTATCTGGAAGTTAAAGCTGTAGTCTGACAGAAAAGGAAAGATTTGCATAGAGTAATTATCAGTATGTAATATTCCTACTTAAATGGAGTCTCCAGCAATGCAGTGCCAGGAGTTTGGTATACGGATTCTTTGGGTAGGCATAAAGTTCTCTGTGAGTTTATTTGCCATTATTTAAGTCACAAATAAATAAGTCAATTTTGTTTGTCTATTTTAGTACTAAATCTTAAATAGATTCAAAGTATTACTGAGAGTATGAAGCAAAGATATCTGCTGAGATACAGGGGGTTTCATACACTATGGTTAACTTCAGGCTTTCCCCTAGGTCTTGCACAGAGACATGGTTAGTGTCTTTTTTTGTTGTTGTTCCTTTTCCCCTTTTTTTATTCTTTTTCCTTAGCTAGATCCATGCTTTGTCTCCCCCCAACCTCTATCCCTTCTGAGCTGTGAAAAAAACATGGACAGAAGGCATCTTTTGTAGGAGAGGAGGAGAAAGTGCTGCTGATCCAACACAACTTCTTCCCCGTTTTTGAAATTGGTGTCAGCAGGGAATTGGTAGAATGCAATCGAGCAGAAGCAGGGGCCAAGTACTTCTAAAGGGAATTTCTAAGTAGCACAGAAATGGTCCCAACTCTTCTTCCTTATACTGAGATTGCGGTCCAGATCTTAAGTAATCTCATAGCAGTTGGGAGATCTTGCCCGTGTTTCAAACCACCATCAAAATGCTGGTTGTGGAAATGTTTCAGAGGGTTACAGACTGATTTAGCAGAAATCTGTAATGTAGCTGAGCTGGTGCACTTGGAAAAAAGTTTCATAAACATCCTTCAGATTTGGGTATCTGCACAGCACCTCTTAACATATTCCGTTTATCATTTTTATTTAGATAAATGTTTTTATTTATGCATGTATTTATATATTAATTTATGTGTATATTTTATATTTATGTATAACTACTTGTTAAGATCTATGGCCAGATCTGTAGTCTTAATTTACATCAGTATTATTAGAATGATACAGTTCAGTAAAGCAATTTAGATATTACTGCAATACATGTAGCACAGAACAGTAATTAAAGTGGACAGTCTGCTTTCTGGAATGTCGGTTACTCTGTTTCAGGAAACAAGCTTGCAAATTCAGAATTATATCATGAAATTATTAAAACTAAGCTTTGAGAAGAGTTTCTTCTCCAAGCATTTTTCCACAATGAAGAATAATTATTGTTTGCACCATTTAATTGCATATTATTAATACCTTTGAGGAACATTTCTATTCTCAGAGTGGCATTTGGAAACTGCAATGGTTTGGCCGTAGTGGACTTTATGCAGAAGACAGTACTGCTGAGCATGGGAACCGTTGACCTATACGGATCAAGTGATCCTTACCAGCGTCAACCCCGTTCTCCTCGCAAAAGCAAGCAGTTTACTGCAGGTAGGAGATAAAATATGGTGGTTATGAGCCTGACATGTTCTTTGGTTTTTTGCCTGTGGCTTTGTATAGTGCTTTTGAAATGCATGACTATCTGCCAGCCAGTGGAATTTCTGTAACTTGATGAAAGAAATCTGATATGCTTTCGGTACTGATACTTTCTCAAAAACGGGATGTTTTATGAAGTTTATTCTTTCGGGATGGAGGTCAGCAAGTGATCCCCTTAGCTGAGTCTCTAAGAAATTGTAATGAGTAAAGCAGTGACAGTCACCTGACCTGTGTGCAATTTTCTTCCAAGTTTCAAAAAGTTCAGACCAATAAGTAATTCTTCAATCTAAACTTAATGGTCGTCTTCCAAAAGTTAATCATTGCTATTTGAACAAACAGATGTGTTCAGAGGACAATGTAATCCCTGAGATACATGTTATTTAGGTAGCAAAAGCAGCTCAAATTAGCCATTTTGTTAATGAAATGAAAATTGATATAAACGTGTTAAATCCAGCTATACCACTTTTTAAAATATGACACCAAGAGGAGCATATTTGTATCTTCCTGGCTATTATTATGCACTGCATGTTAGAAGTATCAGTCCATCAGCACAGATAAATTTTGGCATAAGTTTTTGTTAATCTCAAAAAAATGGCATGTGTGAGAAAAAGAGTCAGAAAGTCTTATATGTTTCAAGTCTTTCTTGACTTGCATATTTCATAGTAACTCTGCGTATTTCATAGTAACATAACTGAGCCAGACATGATTGTGAAATGTTATTCACATAGTTCTGAAGTTTTAAAGTTAGATTTTAAAATGTGTTTGATAATATTCAGTGTTTATAATCTATCCATAAAATTATAAAAGCAGCAGATTATAGTGGCTTTATGACATCAGCATTTTCATCAGCAGAGCCTACATTAAATCATCTAATACTGTTTCTCCACAAAGTCAATGGAAACATTTTTCATTGGAAATAAGATTGAACTCTGGAAAAAAAAAAAGTAAAAATAGAGAAGAAAATGCAATTCTTCAGGCTTACTTCTGTTCCTGAAAGCCCATTTATCTCACTTTGTAGGCATTTAATCATGGTGAGGTTAGTTCTCATCTGTGCCAAGTGTTAACATGTGAATTTGGCAGAGCTGAGGAGAGAAGAGACAAGCAGCTTCAAGCCACCTTTAACTTCTCTGTCTGGGCCGGCCAGACTCATGGCAGCTTCCAGCATAACTTTAGCAGCCGCAGACAATATGTTGCGGAGCCACGTCCAAAAGGTGGAGGGTGACTGATGTAGAAATAGCTATATCAGCGCTGCACCACCCAGCATTGCTCTGTGTCAGCGAGATTCTTGGCCAGTCCTTTAAGGCAACGTTCCAGCTATGCAGTGCTGCTAGAATGGAGCCCACTGGCAATAAAAGGCTATTAAGAAGAACACACGTTTTTAGATCGCTATAGAAATTATGCATCTGAAAAAAACCTCAGCTGCTTTCTCACCATCCATCCCACAACCTTTACTTTTTTAATTATTTTTCTTGTTGTATCTTCTGATCTGAAGGTAAGAATCTGCTGAAATTTCTTCACCTTGGCTGTTCTAGATGCTGGTTATGATATCACTTCCTTTCACTTTAGACTGTTTTTTCTCTCTTTCTTCTGCCTGCTGCTGATGCTGGTGTACTGGCATGTTCCAAAGACAACTTTTGCATGCGTGGCCTGTCTAACTTTTATCCAGATTTAACGAAACGGATCCGTACTTCCTATCAGAGTAAGTTCTATAAAGGTTAGGCAACTAGCTATACGATCAGAATATGCCTGACTTAAACCCGTATGTTTGTGCTTTGTAATGTGTTTTTTTTAAACACATTCAGCATGCATGCAAATTTGTTACATTTTGTAATGTCAGTCATGCTTCATTTTGACAACTATCTATATTATACAGCTATTTCAGATCTGTTTTCTTCTTATGCCCATTGACTTACTTGAGGTAGACTGGGCCTTAGAAATGATTTTTCAGTGATGTTAAGTTCTTGATAACAGTATCTTCCATTGTTTTTGTATTTGTTTCAGCATTCATTACTTATATGAAGCATTTCTTGTTTTGCAATGGCACTGCCTGGTTGTAGTTATAAACTAATTCTTCCGTATTTTCAGTAGAGCAATGTGGTTTAAACGAATAAACACTGGACTGGGTGCTGTGAAATTTTAAATTTTAATCGTGACTATTTGGCTTTGGGGAACCAATGCATGGCTCTGATCCTTAATGGAGAATAACATACATCAAACAGTTATGAAAATTAATGTTGTTAATATTTTTAAATATTTAAGTTATAAAGTGATATTAAATTTAAATATTAGTATTCATCACTGCAGAATGTGATGAACAAAGCTATAATTAATTTTGCTAAAATGACTCTTCAACAGATAAGCTGTATGTATCTTAATTAACTGCAATGCTTGTATGTAATTAGGTCTCCAGGATGCCTCCTATTCATCTCTTTTTAAAGTAATTTTCCTAGAACAATTGGATAGGCAGTCTAAATTAAATACTCAATGTAAGCAAGATAGAAAGGGGTGGTGGTTGTTTCATCATTTCGCATAAATATGGAGTCATATATCTATTAAAATACAGTTGCACGCTCATACTAGAAATTCTATTTCCTTTCTATGGACTGATTGCTCAGCAACTGATTTCTATGATGTTATTTCATAATACTTAATTAAAGATGGACTATTTATTTAAAAGACTAGGCCAGTTATATATTCAACAGTTTGTGCAAAGCATTGGTGTATAATTTCTTAAACTGTATTAATCAGGTCTTGCTAGTTTTACTTCAAGTCTATAAGAGAGAACCTGAGGAGCAGATTGCAGTCATAAGTTTGGGGTTTTTTTCCCCAAAACCAAATTAATAAATTGGAAAGACCAACATGATCATCCAAACTAACAAACAAACACCAGTGAGTTTTTCTCAGCTACAAATGCAGTGTCTAGTTTCTGCCTTCAGTTCCAAAATCAGGAAAGTCCTAAAAATCTGTCTGCATATGTCTTAACTGAAAAGTCTGAGAGTTTGACTCTTTTGCAGGGTCGTTAGCCGCTTCATCCTTTTCCTTAAAAATTGTTTTGTTGTTGCTTTTGCCAGTCAGTACTTACACAGGTGTATGTACCACACAAATACAGTCATAACAGTCCCTGATCCAAAATTGCTTATGAGCTAAAAGATGCACCAGAAAGTAAGACAAAGAGCAGGGCAAGAATATTCCCTAATAGAATGTAAAATAAGTTAGCTAGTAAGTGGTAATTATACCAAATCTGCATTTGCTGAATCATTCTCAGGTTGTCATTTGCTGTACATCTTATATGGCAACTCAGTTTTAAGGGGGTGATTGAGGATGGATTTACAGACTTTGTTTAGGAGTTTATCCCCCTCTTATAAGGGATGATGATGGGAAAAGAAATTTTCTTTGTGTGTGTAGTTGAAGTTGATATTATCAAGGCAAAAACAGGAATCAGTCATGATAGCATAAGCATGAGATCTGAAATACTGAATGTTATTTAAATAAAAATGGAAGTTAATGGAAAGACAAATTGGAAGTTGATTCAATTAGAGTAATGAACCAAGAAGATAATCACACCAGGATCAGCCTGAGAGAATCAGACTTACAGGCATTGAAGCTAAAGCACTGATAAAGCCGTTGATAAAGCCAGGCATTATCAATGAGCAAGATACTTTTGTCAGTCGTATTTTGGAGGTAACTGCAGCAAGAAAAGAAGACAATTTGTATCCAGCCTGAATCTGAGAGTCAAAGAAGTGTGATGTTCCAAGGAGGAAACCAGTGTTACGGATTTTAGTATAAGGGAAGACAGTGGTGCTGTTTACTGTGATAAGATAGTGAAGAGTGAGCAGGTTTCTGCAGGAAGAACTAGAGTTCATCTTGGCCATGATAAGGTAGTATCTGGACACTGATGAGTAAATTTCAGAAGGGTAGGAATACCACTCTACCTTGGATGGAAGGAATCCAAGTTAGAAATTTATGTTTATGAATTATTAGGCTAACAAAGATACTTAGCACCCTGTTTGTAGGTGAGAATCCATTCAAATACTGGGATAGAGAGATAAAGAAAGGGCTAAGGTTTCAGTCTGGAGTGTCTTGCAACTGAAAAAGAAAAAACCCGTCAAACAGGAATAAGAAGCAGTATCTCGGAGACAATAGGTTTTCCAAAGGAAAGACTTGATCAACAATGTCAAGGGCATCTGATATACAAAGCACAACAGTGGAATAATTGTCCTGCAATTTGGCCAGAGGGCTTGATAAGAGTGATATATACATGTGTAAAAACAGATGTGTAAAACAGATTGGAAAGGGTCTGGAACGGAATTAAACATTAGCGTTCAGACAGTACATTCTGTGGTTTAGTAGGTGAAAGTGGGAAGGGAGAAGCAAGAAAGAGGAAAGAAATTTGAAGGAGAAATGGATTCAACTCTGGCCATAAAATGAGAGAGAGTGAAATGTCTGTATTAGGACCATTAGATCCTATCAGGGAAAGTAATCTGAGGAAAGTAAGAGGCTGAAACGAAGGGTAAGTGGAAAGCCAGAGGTAGCTTTCTGTTGATGACCCATTCTATTTGCTGTAACAGCTGCCGGCAACCACCTTCCTTTGTAGCAAGACTACATGCCAAGCCAAATAAAATAAACTCTTCCTGAAGTAGTACAGAACTGTTTTTTTTTTTTCAATTGAAATCAAGTTGTATATGTTATTAGCTAGCAGTAGATAACATATACTGAAATATTAAAACAAGTACATTTACCTCATCTAGAGAGAGAGAGTATTGGCAGCAGAAGATAAAAATGCCAACTTGCAGAAGAAAGTCGATCTCTTATTAGGAATTCATACCATCTGTTGACGAAACAAGAAAATGATTAGTCTTTATGAAGCATCCAAAAAGTTAACAAGCTAGGAGGGCGTTGATCCATTGGAAACTAGTTTTCAGAATCCAGACTTTTCACTGAGAAGTCTTTGTTTCTCACGTCCTCTGAACTGGCAGGTCTGAAGGAGCAAAAGTATCGTAGCTCTGAAAGAAGCAGACAGAAAATTCTATGTTATGAGTTGTTATAGATCAGTAATTAACACTTTAAATCACACCTGGCAACAAATTAGAATATATTGTAGACTCAATTTTAAGTGAACAGCTATGTTCTCAACTACCTATAGTTTTTGAAGTGTGCATTATACTTAAACATAAATCAAATACAGAATGGTAATTCAGTGTGGAGCAAATGAGTTAGGGTAACAATGGGCTTACTTACTGGCTTATGGACATTTTTGAGATTTACAAGCAAAGATGTGACAGCCTGGCTGCCTTTAGCAAATGATCAGTCCAAATAATGAAATCGTAGAGACCGAAATTTTAAGTGATGAATTCGCAAAAGTTATTACTCCAAATTATACAGTACATTTTTTGTTCTTTGATAAAGGGAAAATGTCAATCACAGTAAACTTTAAAAAGTGTCCATGGGACGTTTTTAAAACTGCTTTGTGGCCTCATATACAACATTTACACATTGTATGATTTTCATATATTTACAATTTGTTCAAATCAAAGCCAGTTTCATTTTAATGTCAATGGGTACATCTTCTCACAGGTGTTTGTTTTTGTGGTTGCACAAATTGGGCCTGCAGAATTTCAAAAGGAAAATTGAAAGTATTTTTCTAAAGTAACTTCAGAGGCTGTTGTTGTCTCTCAAGGAGTCAAAGAAAACTGAGCTGCATGGAAATACTCTACATATGAGGAATTATTTAAAAGATTCCTTAAAAAAGAAATGACCATAGAAAATAAGGAGTAGTACAAAGAAGGTAGTTTGAGAATTTACTTTCTTAACTCATAAGAGAAACAAAAGACAAAATTTACTGAAATCAAAGGTGACACATCAAAGTTGGCAAAAGGTATGTTTATTCCTTTCAGTGAATTATTTGATTGCACAAGTATTGTCACAGAGCATCTTTGGGGCTGATAATTTAGTAAGATAAAAGAAGACTTTGGATGTTTGGATGGATAATGAGAGGAACTGGCTATAACAAGTCTAAGCCAGAAAGATTTATGGCAGTGGAAATTCTGCAGGTATCAGTGCATAAGCAAATCTAAGTATCTAAGATTAAGATAATGGCTTTGTGCAGGGCAGATTGAGCCACTTTTGCTTAATGTGGGGCTTTATTGCACTTTTTTTTAAAGAATCTGTTGGTTGTGACCATTAGAGGTGATAGTGGCTTGACAATAAGTCTAGGCTAGTAGAGAAGTTCACATATTCACTATTTTAAAATATCATACCATGAAATGTATGTTTATGCTAGTAAGTTGTAAAACTGTTGTCAAGCAGAGAGCCTGTGGTATCCTCACTGTGATTGCTCCTGGTTTTTCAGAACAGTGGTGTGATTTGGTGCATTTCCTACTTAGTTCACCGCAGCATAATTTGCATTGAGTGATAATATTGTTTTAATGAGCTCACAAAAAAGAAATTGTATTTAGAAGCAAAATCTGACCTGGGATTTGAAATTAGAACTGTCAGCAATACTAACTCTACATGATTTAGAAAATGTTCATTAATCACAACATTGTAACTGTAGTATTACAATTTTAATAACTTAATACTGTTTGGAAAAGAAACAGAATTTAATATTTCTTATTTATCCAAAGCCTCTGACACTATACGTTTGTGTCACATTCACACTAGATCTCACAGAAAGCTGCGGAACAAAAAGTCGAGTATGTCCTAAATCTGCAGATTGAAAAGATACACACAGAGTTCCCAGAATCAGGTAGAAGTCAGATTTGCGGTAAGAAAGCTGTACGCAGAGATGTTCCCGAAATGGTTGTAGTGCCTGAGATCTGTCATAACTCCAAAAGTGACTGCACTCAGAACTGACTGGAATATAAAACTCTCTCAAAGATTCCAAGTTGAATCAAAGAACAATTCAAAGAAATTTTTAAAAATGAGAAGAAAAAACTTTTGTTTTTTGACGTTAATATCCAGATAGTAATCTTTTATGATTTAAAAGTCGGGAGCAAGTAACCCTTACTGCTTGCTTAACACACCACATCTATACTGCTGTTTTGCCAAAGTTCTCTCACAACTGTCCCCATTTTTTTAGAGCAGTTTGAAGTTACACTGCAATAAAAATGTCAGCACCTGCATCAAGATCTCACTATATTTAGTACGAATTGACCGGCACTGGTGACTGAGGGGTATTGGAAAATATTTTTAAACCTAAAGTCTAGACAGGTTTTAGAGGCCAGGATCTCAGAGGTGAACAGTCTAGAAGCCATAAAAGTTAAAACATATGTCCCGTTGCAAGTTTATGGTGCCAGATTAAAGCATATTGAGAAGTCCTAATGGGATATTTGATTTAAAGGGTACCTCAGCTTAGATTCTATGTGTGCGTGTAGTATTACAGTATGTGCACCTGACTGCGGGCTAACATTCACTAGGCTCTATGACCTGAGTGCTGAGAGTCCACATTGCTGGCAGATGGATGCCCTGGGGTTTGGCTGTCTGTCAGTCCCAGAGTACGCTATGGCATGAAATGTCAGACCTCTTCATAAGGGGTGTGAACTGTTTGATATCGGCCATATGGCACCATGGGATACGCATGAACGGCTCGTTTGAGTAGCTATGGCCATGCCCAGGTCACACACACAAAAGCCCATGCTAAAGGACAGCTCAAGCTCAGGTTTCCCCTCCCTTGCATGCCAAAGGGCGTATTTAATCATGTACATGCAATCTGTACAGAAAGTGTATCTTGGTTTGGTCACAGACACAAGCCCGTGCTCTTCAAGCAGTGTAAACTAAGATTGCGTTACTTATTGTCATCTTCCATGGTAGCCTGCAACAAATGAACTCCTCGTACAAATTAATAAATAATATGTAAAGTGTCTCACCCAAAAATAGTGTGTTATATTCGGGCAGCGTTATCATTGCGTCTGCTCTTTAAAATGAGCTACCTCGTGTGAATTCATACAAAAGATCCAAATACTATGTAGTAGAAGTGATTTTTGTATTTACTTTCTTCTTTCACCAGAACTGTCTTTTTCTTCTGTTTTTTGGTTTCCTTCCTGGATTCTGCAGCAGTCGGAAGCATACAGAATTGTTTCTGCATCAGTCTGACAGGGATGAATGAGTTTGATTGATTTGGTTCATATCACAGACATTTAAATTTTAAGCTGTATTTACTTGTTTTCACACATTAGGTACGGTTGGTCTTTGTCTACCCAGAGGCACTCAGAAAACAAGTCTGAATTAACCACACCTCTGAATTAAGATGTGTGATTTTAAACCAGATCTAAATTTCTGTAGTGACAGTCTGATACCAGCAGTTATTCTGAAATAAATATTTCCCTGCCTTTCACACCATACTTTTCTCCAAATTGACTTTGAAGTGTAGAATGCCACCAACCACAAAAGTTGAAGCATGCCCTGTTAGATTGTAACTTAACTTTTTAACTCCATTTTTTCAGGCCTGACTGAACTCAGTGACAGTCCAGTTTCCCTGGAGCTAGAGCGTTGCAAGTCTCCCACTTCAGGTAAAGGTGATTGGCATCTCTTCCTGCAGTCTGTATAAGCAATTCATGTCATGCATCACTGTGTTTCATTATTCCCTAAGAAGTGAAGTGCACAGTCACAGTTCCAAAGGGAGGAATTCTTTGGAGAAGTGCCTGTGGTATACCAGCATATAACACTAAGTCTGCATATATAAAGGAAAGTTAAATGGATATGGTGCATCTTCAGGTGAGGAGTATGAACACATTTAAACTGACAGCATCCTACAGATGTATTCCTGTATTTCAAATGGATTCAGGATTTTTCTTAGGGGCTTGTTTCCTCGTTTTCTTAAAAGGCTTTTTGACTTTCTAATAAAGAGTCCCTCTAGTTGTATCTATGTATTATACATAAGTGCACATACAGAAATTTTTTGATAAAGAACAAAATGGAGAGGGAAAATTTTGACCATTAGAACCCACCAGTGCCTAAGTGCTATAATTTACAATAGAAGCATAACCTCAAATAAAAGTATTAGCTGATCAACTATTATGACCCTGCAGTGAAAGCTTAGCCTTTTAAAAACTCAATGTTTTTCAATTTTACCCATAGTCCTTCAGAAGGTGGAGTACAGCATTTTCCTAGAGACTTTTTCTGCAAGTGCCTAGTGTCTGCATTGATCTCTTTTAGTATGAGTTCACTATCTTAAAGATAATAGCTTAGAGCTATTTTCTAATAGCTGGCTTTCAAATGTGGTGGAGAATAAGCAGGTGTAGCTGTAATACATTCATTTTGCTTGTGGTGTGCATATCACACTTTTTTTGTTGCATTTTGGTAAGTATTGATAGGTACTTTTCCTTTTTTCTTAGTTATGGTACCGGAAATTCCCGTAAATATGCTGTTCACATCCTCTGTTATTATTTCAGATATTTTATTTGTTTTTAAAGGGACACATTTACGTTGACTATAGTCCAGTAATTAGTAGTTTGCAAAAGCTGAAACTAATAAAAGTGTTTTCATAACACATCAAGAACTAAAACAAAAATAGCTGTTCTGAAAAAATATTCATTTCCTTATAGTATTTACAACCCAGATTTTACAGACATGAGACTATCAAAGTGAAATGTACTGTAACAATATTGTTGTAACACTAGGAATTCAAACTCATGCTCTAGGTCTCAGAAACTCGTGAGTTGGGTTTTAAAACAAACTATTTGATAATTCAGTGTAATTGGACTATTTACTGTGTGTCACTGGGATTCATCTTTTCATTCTTTCCTCCAAAAACAGGCTACAAACTTCCTCCTCCTTTTTACTGACAGCTAAGAGTTCACTGACTTGGCATTTTTGTATGCCTGCATATATTTTTATAATGATGAGTGAAGCCTGTAGTACCTGACTTTTTCTGGAATTAATTTCAATTTTTCATTCTGCTACTGTTCAAAAATATCTATTTTAGATAAATATAAGTTAATTTGCTCCAGAATTTGTTCTACTTTTATATTTTTGGAGAACATTTGGCAGGGAATATTTGACAAATGTATAAATGTTTCCTTTTTCAGCCCTTCCATGTTGTTTTCCAAGCTACATTTGGATCTTTAAAATGTGAAATCAGGAGAAATTTTATTAGCAGTAACTGTTATTAAGATTAACTGCAGTTCAAAATAGAAGTTACTTTTACTGTGATTTATATTAATTATTCTTAGAAAGGTAATGCAATTGTCAAAACTGGAATAATTCAGCTCTGGCATACCCACTCTAATACTAGGCAAAATCCAGACTAAACTTTCAGAGTGACCAGTCTCAAAATTGTGATTACCAAGAACATGAGCTTGGAACTACCTTATGCTCGCAGCTCGCACAGCCTCACAGCTACAATAGTCTTTGTACTGGCTAGCATTTCTGCCTCGTGGGAATAAAACTGGTTGATCTACATAGTTATAGATTCACTGGCCAGGATCCTTCTTTTTCCGGTCTTGGTTTTGATCTTTTTAATGATCATGTCACACAAGGATTCATAGTGGAAGTGCATTCTGCTCTCTAGAGTCCCATAATGCCTGAGGTGTAAAAATAGCCAACATATATCTTTGCTGAAGACAGGCCAATATATTTCTGACTTTTTCCATCAGAAATATAGCTGAAATGGAGAGAAAAACAAAAAAAACTTGGCTGCTGAGTCAAGTAATAGAAACTGCTGCCCAAGGGCTATGTTATCAACTGATAGGGTTGCAAAGAGGGAAAGAACAGATTTTGACTTGCTGCAATTCATTACGGTTGCCAGGCCACATCAACATCAAGTCTTCTCTGGCAGTGAAGCTAAGGCCACTTGCTGCCCCTAAGTAAGCTCAGTGTATACCCAAAGAGCACACTGCTGGAGAACACCATACTCTTGATGGCCAACTGGTGAGCAACTTCTTCCTGGGCTCCATCAGAAGGGAAACTATTTTGAGCACACCTTTAGTGTGTTCAAGCACATGCTTCAAGTCTCCAGTGTTTTAACCTCTGACTATGGACCTGCAAAACGAGGCCAAGGTTAGCTCAGTAATTCAGCCTTGTTTCTCTCCCCACCCCACCCCACCCCCAATCAAAGCGAGTCATTTGAGTGCTGTCATTGATCTCTCTCTTCTGGAGCTTAATACTGTGAATGTTGGAGCACTGAGCAAAAGATGCACCCAGCTGAAGAGTGCTTCTTATTTTACATACCGGATTGTTTTCTAGTTCCAGTACAAATCCAACAACTTCTACTATGCAATATTTCAAACTTGTTTCACAGCAAGGCTGTTTTTTCAGGTGTCCCTCATCTACTATTTAGGAAGGCATGGCTTTACAGACAATATAAGTGAAAAATCAGATTCCCAGTCTGAACAACTTTAAGCCTATAACATGAAATTAAACCGTCTGATGAAAACATCTCTGAAATTCTCAATGCCACACAGCAGGTAACAGCCAGCAAAGAAATTTCAAACTTGCACTTCAAGGAAGAAAACAGCAGTGATCTTTTTTTGACCACTGGTATCTTCTTTTAATTAAATTAGTGTTTAAACGCTGCAGTACTGGCTTTCCAATACTGTATAGGAATACAAGAAAACAATTAGGAAGAGTCTATTTCCTTTTGAATGTCTGGTTGGTGGCAATTTTCTCCATGAATAAAATGTGTTTCATGTATCTTGATGTATATGGAATGACACTGGTAAAAACTGCAGAATGAAAATTCTTAACACTTCCCTTTTTAAAGTGTACTTCATGAGAACACCGATGCAGCACGGCATGCCGTGAAATGGTATTTGATTGGATTAAAAAATACATCAGACCATATGAAGAAATGTTGAGATCAGTGCCATCAGAATGCCTTACTTTTGCTCTTGGATGCCATACTCTGAATTAAGAACGTCAAACCACATTTTGCATGTATTTTGTGATTTGGGGTTCAAAAATTAGGGCTTTGCATCCTCAATGAGAGCTGTAGTGCTCAGTAGCTCTTAAAAAAAATAAATAAATGAAGCTCTGAGGCCTTGTAGGCCCTCATAATATAAATGGTGTCACACGCAAATGCAGGAGTTAATTCCCATATAATGTAGTACAAAATCCAGTGAGCTTTACTTTTAATTTTATCACCTCATTGAAGACAATGTATTCAGGGGCTTTTAGGAATGTAGATTTTCTCTCTCTTGATTCTTTGGCCATTTATGTACAGCTTCATACTGAAGCACATAGTTGAGAACACGCTGTGAGCGCAAAGCTTGCATCTTTAAGAGACCATTATTTCACTTCATTGTTAGATTTTTCTATAAGACGTGATGGACATTTTAGATTTCTTTCAAAGACTCATAGGAAAGAATTTCATTAGTTTGTAATTAGGACAGTGAATTCTCAACTGTGCATTTTAAGCTGAAAGTGCATTTGTATTTGTTCTTAAGGAATCACCTTGCTATTGGGGACCCATATCCAGAATGCATGTAAGACAATAGGTTGGAGAAGACAATGTGTAGACTTCTGCAAATGATTTCCATGAGCTTCTGAGCAGATTCCTGATTAAATGATTTCTAATTAATATGCTTATTATGATTTCCAAATGTTTCTGTCTTGATTCATTCCACTGGTTAAATTGGCTAGGATTGGGCCCATGCAAAGCTACTGTTTCCCCACATGAAATGTTTTTAAATAGCTTTTTTTCAAAAAGAATTTTATGAAGTTCATTTTTTTAACTCTTGGGTAACTGCAAAATAGCTGAAGAGATTTGAGACTATATTAAATTCTTCTTGTGGAAACTAAGCTAGAAAATAAATGTTTCAAAACATCGTGCCTATGTGAAAACACAGAATTAGAATGTGATTTATTTTGAAACTTGGTTACTGACAGCACTGCCAGCATAACCATTTCTACTTATTTGTATTAAATTTAAAAGAATATTTACTAGTCAGAAGGCGAATTAATCATAAAAGAGAGGTTGGCGCTTGCACGGAGGGCACAGAAGGTATTTTATCACTTTTTCTAGCCTGTGAGGGGTTTTCCGATCAGATAAATTAATGTGCGTGTAATATCTTGAGCAGGGATGTGCGCGTCAAGGAGCAGCGAGGGCTGACTGCTCCCTAAGGGCTGGGGAGCCACAAGGTGAGCACGATGCTGTGCCAGTCCGGCGGGGGCCTCCCCAACGAGGGCTCCACACCGCAGCACCTAAGCCAGGGAGCAGGGCAAGCCCAGGGGTGGCAGCCAGGGTCCAACGCAGCACTGTAATGGCCAGTGGGGATGGGGACAGGCCAAGACTCATCTGGGACATCAGCACACGGGTTGGGGTCCGGATCGGTGGGGGCTGTGGCCAGGCAGCAGCAGGGCTGTGGTGGGGCTGGAGACCGGTTTTGCTGCAGCGTAACTCGGGCAGGGGTCAAATAGTAGCGGCTCAGCTTAAAAGCAGATCCTGTGGGAAGGGGGCCAGCCCCAGCTGTGCTGTCCATACATTGGCCCTGAGCCCCAGTAGCCAGATCTGCAGGACCTTGCAGTGTACATGAAGAGAGCCTGATTGTCTAACTGGGTATTTAAATATTAG